AACTCTAATATTTTATGCTTGATCTCATGAGGTAAGATATTTCAAATGATCATTTATGCTAGCAACAAAATCTAAGTGGCCGTAATTGTAATAATATTACTGCCGAAACGGAATGAATGCAGTGGATGTTTGGAAAACCTCAGAGAAATCAAAAATTAGCATACCCGCCTCGTCTGTTGGATTTTTACCAGCTTCATCTGCGAACGTTTGAAAACCCATGTTATTTCATTACAGAATATCTAAGGTGCAATGAACAATTTTCATTTTGTGTGTTCAAATTTACTGCGTGACGTTAATGTGTCATTGGTTGGTTTGCCTCACTTTCATGCTGTCACTTATCTGAGCCTGTCTCCTAACTATCCAATAATCCTGTATCCCGTCTGATTAATTTGTCTAGTTTCCTTGCTCCGGAATGTAACGATAGAACATCGTCATTGTTTCAAAATAGCTCATTGTGTGTTTGTACACACGGGGGCCAAGAGATTCCGGGAGAATAGCAAGTGAGATTTTGTTGCATTGAATGAATTTAACAAGACCGCCAAAACTCCATTTTGGCCTCAGGTTTGACGCGGCCAGTTTGACTGCGAACGATAACATAAGTGAGCCATCTCCGAAATAATCTTTGAAACCTATAATAATGTATTCAGAAATGCTGATATTTCACGCTTGAAAGAAACGTAGGCTACTGGCACTTCAATGTACCATAGGTGTATATTCGCTTCCGTACTTTTGTGACTTGACAACTTGTCCGAGGCTCCTGAGCCATATTGCTAAGCGCGCTAGCTGATGAGCCAACGTATTTGTGATGATATTGACTTCCACGGTAGTGAGCGTCTGATAACCTACCAGATCGTAGCATGTGTAGCCACACTCCTAATAAAAGAACAATGCAGAAACCTGTGCAAAATATACTAACCGAGGGAAATTGAACCACACCCCAAACATTTGTTTCAACATAAATGCAAGTGGTGCTGCTTTAGTTAGAGTTACTGCATTGAGTACCCCCCAAACGCTGGTTCCTGCAATAGTCGAACTGCGAACCATTGCGTGTCACACCCACCCCAAACATTTGTTTCAACATAAATGCAAACGGTGCTGCTTTAGTTAGCGTTACCGCATTCAGTAACCCCCAAACGCTGGCTGCTGCAGTAGTCGAACTGCGAACCATCGCGTACTTTCCGCTAAATTTATGATTGGCTGTAACCCGGAATGTGAACACATCACAATCGTCACAGAGATCACTAGTTATTTCACTGGAAACTCCTTTGATTAACCGTATTGGCAGCACGCAATTATTCCATAGCCGTACTAAACCGTTCGTAATTGCGTGGCTTAGCTGGAGGTAAAAGGCAGCCGAAGAACTGGGAAAGCACTTGACGCCGGAAATCAAAAGACAAAGCGCGTAACCTTCTAGCCGAATAAGGCTGTAAAGCACACGATATGAGCAGTATAATGAAATATGTTTGCACGAGAATTCTTGAAGAAAAGCGACGCTCCCATTTAGTATGAAGCAGAGAAAATAAACGAAAGGTCACGAATGTGCGCAATTTACTGTAGAAAGACAATAATTCTTATATTGTAGGCTGATGCAACCATGAATTTGGAAGTAGTAAGAATCATGGATTATATTCTGATTGGGAAACTATTGCACGCTACTGAGTGAGCAGTTTTGCTGAATATCACCGCTGCCTTTACGTCCGTGTTCACAGATACACCATATTTCTATATTTTCCCTCAACAAATCAGGGCAACAAAACATCAGAATACCTTTGGCTGGTGTAGTGGATAGAACATGATACACGTACAAACTATCCGTTGGTGACTGTTAGAAGTTTTAGACAGTTTGGCCGCACACTGGAATAAATAATCTTCAGAGCACACATCTCCTGAAACAGAATAGGAAACGTACCGGAGCGAGTGGTTTCACCTGTACCTAAAAAAGATTGAGTAATGAGCATTGGGGATAGCAGGCAAAACCCCTAGAATTTCGGCACCGTGTTCGTTATGAAAAGGCTTAAAAGACAGCATTTTTGCCGGTAAACAGCCGAGGGATTTATCTTTTCTTCCAAGTTGCATAGCACACTAGCTGCGAGAAACAATGCAAGCATATTTATGATGTTGTCGAATAAAAGTAGATACTTCTACCTACGCCTGAATTTCTTGCCTCATCTTATGCAGCGGATGGGTGATTAGTTTTATTCGTAAAATATTTGTGTACACTGGCGGGTGGTGAACCTGCTTCTTCTGGTCTTCGTACTTTCCGTTAACCAAATCTTCGTATATTCTTTTTGATTGAGACATTGAAATTTCTACTCTTCGTGAACGGAGACCTAGTAAGTCTCCTGATTGTCGTTTGACAGTTTGAACTGTCGCTCAACTATTCAGCTCCTTCGAGCCTGAACATTTTCGTTTGTCCAGGGGTGACATTCCAGATGTTTCCAATAAACACTGGTGGAGCTGTGGTAACACACTCAAACGCCGATATGACCAGAGGTAAACACTAATGATGGAGTTTGTCAAGAACGCAATTCGAGTGCACTGCTTCCCATTGTTGATGCGGACCGATTGAAATGATTGCACCAGGACAGTAATACGACTGCTCAATCAAGTGTGACGTCAGTGTGAATCTCACGAATCCCGGAATCGCTTACAATGAAATGTAGTGCCTATATTGTTACTGCAGTACGGATGTTAAAGACAACCATCCACTAGGTTGCATGAAAAGAAAAATATACTCGTATGAATATGGACAAATTAAAAGTGAAACTTCATGAACCTTCTCAGGAGGACTAATTTACATACTCTGTAAATTCTGTAATGATAATAATACAATAATATAATAATATAATATAATAATAATAAACTCTGTAGACTCTGTTTACTCTGTAAATCGGAAGTCATTATTTGAGGACTGTCAGGTGATTTTCGTGTTTGAAAGCTGAGCGGCGGTAAGTCCTATCTAAACCCGAGTGAACCATATAGNAACTCTGTAGACTCTGTATACTCTGTAAATCGGAAGTCATTATTTGAGGACTGTCAGGTGATTTTCGTGTTTGAAAGCTGAGCGGCGGTAAGTCCTATCTAAACCCGAGTGAACCATACCGCTGGTTGGCTACTTGTGTCCGAACGGTATAGCTGGAAAGTCTGGCTCTGATTTGTGGGAGCTACACAGTACTGAAGTCAAATCAATAAAGGTCACAAGCCGGAACTCGGAAGAACAAAGGTCACTCCAGTATCGACCAGACTACGACGGCGAGGGATGCCAAGCTCAAAGGTCACGTTGGCATCGGCGAATGAGTAGACGGAATAAAAGAACAAACAATGGAACCGCCGCTAATCGTGGTCAAGGGTCATCCCCGGCTACCAGAACGTATATCAACACACAAGTAACACTACTCAACGCACAACCACTAACCCACCGCTACGCACAACTACGCTCCCCAATAACGCAATGATGATATAGCCTCGATTGGTGATGAAACGTTTGCAATCAAATTGCCCAGCTCAGGGAACAAGCCAACAACCATCTAGGCTTCCTGAGCTACCGACATTTTCCTCTATAGAAAACAGTACTGGTGCCTCCAAAAGAAGATAAAACAGCTTGGCAGTGAATCTGAGCATTTGACATGGAATAAATTCACCTGCAGAAATAGATTATGAATTAAAATTAAATACGCTTTCACATTTCGTTCTAAAGCACTCAAAATGATGACATCTTCCCGCGCGTTTGGATAAGTTCAACTCCATATTCGGTGTACTAGTGGAAGTATGAGTTGCGATTTAGTTAGAATCGTGAAGTCTGAGGAGGACGTTATGACGGGAATGGAATATTACGGAGAAGGTCATTGAAGTGTTATTCATTGAGTTTTATTTTTTGAGTACCAGCTTAGAACGCCAATTGCCGAGTTGTACTCAGTGATATCACACGAGTGTCTTACGTTAAGTCCCGATACTTGCAAATATGTTCTGGAGTATCTCTGTAGCCCCAATTTTTTGACTAAAAATAATGTTTCTACAAGAAATGCGCATATTTGCCTTCAAATAGTAGCTGGTTATGCCGCTTACGTTCCGAAAATTTAATTACCTTATATAGCATTGGGCTAAAGTTTAGCGGCAAACGGAGCTACCTCCGCTTTTAATTGTATGATTAAAGTTGCGACTGCCAGCATTTTAAAACAATGTTCGTTTATCAGTGTTTGGGTCGGTTTTTACACCAAAAATCCTCTCAAAACCAGTCAGGGATATCTTGTCCATTCCATTTTGTTTCATTACATTCCACTTTTCAGGACAGAGTAACTCTTAATTTACAGCAGCTCCGAAAATTGTTAAGCAAACCGGTTGATTAGCTGGGAATCTTCCGGGTGCCGGGGTTACCTGTGCTCTGATATCATGCCCAGTGAACAAGCTCGAACCGGATTGTTTTTTGTCGATGACCGATCTTGATCATCCCTCCCAAGAAACGATATGTGTCTGGAATCAATAATTTGGTCGGTTACACTGGTGCTATCCTGTAACCATAACCGAGGAATAATTTCGTGTGAACTTGGGCGCAATATTATAATAATTATGGTGCACGTTCTGTCTCCAAAAGCCCCATATGCCTCCTTGCGTTCCATAAAATTCATCACTGTGCTTGAATACCCAAGTGCAAACTCGTGACAAATTTTTCGGTTATTGGTTGGAACCAGGTAGAGTGCCATCCCTCATCATATTCCATCTTTTGCTGTTGTTCTGTGTAGAGACCACATGTAGATATGGGCACCCAGATGAGCTCAGAAATTGGTTTTGAATTTTGTGAAACCTAAGGCCTGTCTGTTTTGTGGCAATACACCCAATTGAGCATGATTTCTACCAAAAGTGGTTTGGTTTTTCTTGAATAAATTTGCTTATGCTGAAATTTATTTTATCACTAAAACAGAAAAAGGGAAGTGTAACAGGCTGCATATTTTTGAAGCAAAAGGCTCAAAAGTTTCGATGCGTAATCGCAGGTGACAATTTAGTTATCTCTCTGGTTGTTGATCAGGTGGCTGTTGATTTGTTCGCCGAGCTTGGCAATTGGCTTGCAAACGTTTCGTCACCATACGCGGAGACATCATCAGTGCGCGGTTGAGTGGGTTATCTCTCACTTCATTATACATCAGTAAGTAAATTTTGTAAACAGGCTTTTTGAGATAGGGTACTAATTACCTGAGACTACAAATAGTATCCAATTAGGATGAAAGTTCTTGGTTGGTCACAGTTTTCATAGGGGATTCATAGAGATTCCCGGCCCGATGTCTTCGTAACATGGGTATATATGACTGACTATGAGGGTGTTTGTGATGCATACACTGTGCTGCAACGAACAGTTCATTAAGTGTCGAACAGCGGACGACAGATAGGCTGGCATGGATGCAGTTACCTAATCCGAGTGCGAACCTATGGGCTCCACTACTACAAAATGACAGATGTTTCTTTAGCATCACCTTTGTCGGTTATATTATGGAAAATCTTAGCTTAATTGAATGGCTACGTAACATTCATTTGGACCGCTCAAGACAGACGTGTGATGCAAGGAAAACTGCCTGGGTGTATATTCACAGGCTCATAGTAACCGATGTAACAATCGAACGCCAATCTCCGTCAGCATGGTGATGTGCATGATGCAAAATTTTGTTTAAAATGCACATGTTGATTTGTACACTCAGGCTTGCAAAGACATAGGTCGCAGAACTAAATTAAGTGACCAGCATTTATGGTGCATTTCGAGTGTATGTACCAGTGGAATCACGTAAATCAGGACTCCGACATCGTTCTAGCAAACGCCGTAATAGATAATGAAATACCACTGTCGAAAAAGCATTTAAGTACTCGGATTGTTCCACGCGGGCAAACGACTGACCGAAGACATGTGATTAATTTTTGCCCTGGAATAGAATTGGACGAGTGAATGAGCATGATCTACCCGCTTAGAACCCCCATAGCAGCGTCTATGCTTGAGTGAACCTTGCTTGTGTTGACTTCGGATTTCATGTCAGCTGGCGGTGACTATATTGCACGTAAGTGCATCATTTTTTATGGAGACCGTCATGCTTTGTAACTCATTCTCTTAGGTGACGCACTAAATCCCGATGACGACGTTCTTCGTTGAAGGCATGATATAGGATTAAAAAGCCAGAAATTCACCGTAGATTCCTACGTATTTGATGCTCTGCATTTTACCATCCACATATGATGCGAATCTCTTGAATAACAACAGGTGATCTTCGTCCTCAGGATGTTTGCAAAAGTGCGATGAGATTAAGTATAGAGTCGGTACACGGCTGTTCTTCGAGCGACCTTCAGTATTGTCGAAAATTCACGATAAGTTAGCTGTAATGTCGTTTAAAATTAAGTTGTATTATTTTGTCGGATGTTCTTCACGACCGAGACTTGTGCTGTGGAATCAACGACAAGAGTCTTTGAATGCAAATAACACGAAGCTGAATAAACATTAATTCAGCAGAAAAAATATCTTTGGCCAAATTCACTTAGCCGAATATTGTAGAAATATCCAACCTAGATAACAAAATTTTAAAAATTTGGCTACCAATCAGATTATTAAATTTAGTTCCATGACATTCTGATAACGATGGTTATGAGACATAACAAAAGGCCTCTAATTTTTGAGGGTTAATGAAAGTCAACCGTAGAATTATTCCTCCAGGTAAACTTACCTTTCGATTCTGGCTGAGTTTCTAACATAGGATGTGAGGTTACGGGGCGCAATTTGCTTTATTGCACTTTCCATAGACATAAATGAATGGCTATAAATATCAGGACTAAAGTAGACACTTGGGTAAGTTTGACACGCATTTTTGCGTGATATTTTTGGTTTATCGAGTACATGCGCTTGAGTTTATTTCACTTACCTACTGTAGCATGAATGAAGGTTCCATCAAAAATTGTGGTAAACTTCATTTTTTGGGATTATTTGCACACAGGCATTTACCTCTGCAGTCCTGCTAAATTACGATAACAAATAACCTGTCTAGATGTTAAATCTTATGTGAAGACGTGTGTCTCTGTAAGTCTTCACATTGGTTAGACATTTAGATTTCAGTTTTTTTCAAATAAGACAAATCCACAGCACCCGGATCACAGATGCTATCCGCGCCTTTATACCAGTAGGCTGGCGATCTCGAAATTTCCAAAAACATCAAAATAAAGCGCTTTTGAAACAGGGAATCACAACCGTTCAGTGACAGCAAAATACCGGAATGTGACGTTTCTTATGTGTCAAAATGAACTGACCAAGGGCGAGGACTGTGGTGTTCCAGAATTGCATTTTAGATGCATTTTAGCGTAAAATCGGGATGATCTGAACCCTTTAGCATAACACTAGGAAGTGATTGGCAGAAACGAAAAGGCATCTTGTCGATTCATACGGATGATTGAGCAAGAATAACACACAACATGTCCAGTGGGAATATCGGAAAGAGATGTAATTGAGAAAGGTAGTGCGACTCCAAATGCGTAAAGCGTGTAAAATATAAAATGTGGCATCTATAAAATGTAATTTGCTATAAAAAATATATAATATAAGCGGGTTTTTAAAAGTATTTATCAGGTTAATGGCATGAATATTCCCATTAAATAAATATTCCCATAAGCTCTAAAGAAAACGAATTCTTGTCATCCAACATTATGTTATCTCCCTGAAATTTCGTTTTAAGTTTTCTTTGACGTGCTGCCTATTGCTCACAACAAGTGAAAATATTTCGCCTGCATGTTGTCCACTCAGGCACGCCAGAACGATAAAACAGTTCCGTGGCCTACAGCCTCACTAGTGATGTAAGCAAAAATCCACACAACAGCACCAATCAAGCCAATAAAGAAGAATGTAAATAGGGGTGGGGAAAAATTGCAAAGTCGAAGGCAAAGAGTGAAGCCAAAAATCATTCTAAGCAGAGATCAGTCAGTGGCAGCATCTAGGAAGTGGTTTACATAATACTCCAAACAGAAGAGAGCTTATGGCAAATCCCAGGTTGTCATGCTCCCGGGAACACCGTGCACCTACAGAGAAAGTGAGACAAAATCAATCGCTTGCTTCTGTAAGATTGTTGAATCCATTATCTCCAAATAAGTTTTGCTTGAATTAGTTAAATTTTGTTGACAACGCTTTCAGCGAGCGTTTAGATACCAATCGGTGCATATTCATTCCACCCTATTACCAATCTAAAGTTACCTAGGCATTCAAATTAGCACAAGCGCCTCAGCGAGCGGATACCAATCGGTGCCTATTAATTCCACCCTATTACCAATTTAAAGTTACCTAGGCATTCAAATTAGCACAAGCGCCAATCATTGCAACCAAAAGTAGACAAGCGTCTTCTCTTCAAATCTTTTTTGAAACTCTGTATGTGTGAGGAATCCACCCATCAATACACCTCTGAAAATTTCCTTAACTCGCGTGGTGCGTCCAAGCCACTGCACTTTCAAGTCCGCATACTGTTGTGAACGAAAGAGAACAGTAACGGGCAGTGTGTTTTCAATACAAAAACCGCACAGTGGATTGATTACAGTTTTTGTTGCCACCCAGCGAATAACGTAAGTGATGCAAAAGAAGAAATCAAGTAATCTGGACATTAAATTTTCACTGAAATATTCTGATTATTTTCAAAGCTCGTGGGATGGCGGTTAAAATGCCAAAATTAAACGTCTCCATCTTTGAAGGCTAGAGTGCGTAAAATTTGAAAGTATTCTGTGAAACAGTCTTACCTGTCGATTCTGTTTGTTTTGCTGATGTGCAATTTGTAACGGCAAACATAATGCACCCAGAAAACGCGAACGATAAGACGATCGTGGGCAATTCTTGGAGAAACGTTAGTACCAACTGTGCGTTTGAAACCTTTGGTGCAAAATATTACTGAGTTATCAAACGAGTGCTCCTACCGAGTGTAGCATCTATGTGGCTTCCGATAAGAATAGTGACAAACTTTGACGAACGCCTACAGTCCATCAGATGATGCCATCTATACTATCAGGCCTGTTACTAAACTAGTCATAGGGTTTTGCATAAATACACCTGCCATAGTACGTTTTAATTTCAAGGTTTTGAGTACACAGCTTTCTAACGCGTAATCCTGCAGTACTCTTCGGTCACAGAAAAATTCGCGACTGTATAGCTCCAAGTTGGTGACAGTGCGTCTTTTTTGAGTGTATATCTTATTTAAAAATGTATCCTATTAAAAACCCCGTTAAACCACCTGCCGCTTGCCGGTCCAGCATCAAGACAAGCTCTGATTGACCGAAAGTATGAACCCAGGAACTGAGCATGGTACATTAGCCACCGAATGCGGGTATCCAGTGTCGCATCCAGAGCGAATCGGTATTTCCAGACTGTTGTCCTCTCTCAAATGGGTTTTGACCTGGTTTCAGGGGTATAACACACGTTCTGCGTTTTTGGTGTTTCATTTGGCGAGAAAGCCAACTTGGGAGGTTCACACTGAGAACTGAGCTGAGACATTACCGTTATTACACAGCGCTTCCAAGTAACTAGTCTGCTAATCACTCCTATGTAACAAGATATTTCCCCATAGTACGCTGGAATTCAGTGCTTGAAACCACAACCAGCTAATGTCAATCGAGGAATATGTAGGAGTACTGCAGAGGTTCGAGTTAACGCCGTCTCTCATGCAAAACATTTCAGGATGATTATTCCGCCAGTTAAAAGTCATGAACCAAATTTAGTTCGCTCTGAGGTGCTACTTGGAGGAAACACTGCACTGAGATCTACTCCAGGCTACTCAAGAACTCAAGAATTGAAAAACTTCTCGAACGAGATACATTTCATGACCCTGTGCATCCTGTAAAACTGCACTTTTGTGAGCTTAATCGAAGGCTTTTGATGCATAGGCTTGTTGCTGAGACCCTAAGTGCGCTCGATTTTATGCAGGCAAACCACCAGTAGCAGGTCACATTTTATTGATTCTGTGCGAGAGCTAGAGTGCGTAAAATTTGAAAGTATTCTGTGAAACAGTCTTACCTGTCGATTCTGTTTGTTTTGCTGATGTGCAATTTGTAACGGCAAACATAATGCACCCAGAAAACGCGAACGATAAGACGATCGTGGGCAATTCTTGGAGAAACGTTAGTACCAACTGTGCGTTTGAAACCTTTGGTGCAAAATATTACTGAGTTATCAAACGAGTGCTCCTACCGAGTGTAGCATCTATGTGGCTTCCGATAAGAATAGTGACAAACTTTGACGAACGCCTACATTCCATCAGATGATGCCATCTATACTATCAGGCGTGTTACTAAACTAGTCATAGGGTTTTGCATAAATACACCTGCCATAGTACGTTTTTTAAACTGGTTGTACATGAGAATTTCAAGTTTTTGAGTACACAGCTTTCTAACGCGTAATCCTGCAGTACTCTTCGGTCACAGAAAAATTCGCGACTGTATAGCTCCAAGTTGGTGACAGTGCGTCTTTTTTGAGTGTATATCTTATTTAAAAATGTATCCCCCCGTTTAACCCCGTTTAACCACCTGCCGCTTGCCGGTCCAGCATCAAGACACGCTCTGATTGACCGAAAGTATGAACCCAGGAACTGAGCATGGTACATTAGCCACCGAATGCGGGTATCCAGTGTCGCATCCAGAGCGAATCGGTATTTCCAGACTGTTGTCCTCTCCCAAATGGGGTTTGACCTGGTTTCAGGGGTATAATACACGTTCTGCGTTTTTGGTGTTTCATTTGGCGAGAAAGTCAACTTGGAAGGTTCACACTGAGACCTGCGCTGAGACATTACCATTATTACACAGCGCTTCCAAGTAACTGGTCTGCTTATCACTCCTATGTAATAAGATATTTCCCCATAGTACGCTGGAATTCAGTGCTTGAAACCACAACCAGCTAATGTCAATCGAGGAATATGTAGGAGTACTGCAGAGGTTCGAGTTAACGCCGTCTCTCATGCAAAACCTTTCGGGATGATTATTCTGCTAGTTAGCAATCATGAACCAAATTTAGTTCGCTCTGAGGTGCTACTTGGAGGAAACACTGCACTGAGATCTACTTCGGGCTATTCAAGAATTTTTATATTGAAAAACTTCTCGAACGAGATACATTTCATGACCCTGTGCATCCTGTAAAACTGCACTTTTGTGAGCTTAATTGAAGGCTCTTGATGCATAAGCTTGTTGCTGAGACCCTAAGTGCGCTCGATTTTATGCAGGCAAACCACCAGTAGCAGGTCTGTTTTTAATGATTCTGTGCGAGAGCCTTGGCAGCTCTTCTCTATGAATTTTTGTTTGTTTTGTTTTACTCCGTGCCTTAAAGTTTTCATGCGGTATTCTTTTATGCAAACGCACACCATTTGGGTTCTAACATATGAGGTTATATTAGGCCGTAACTCGTTGAAACCCACACATGTGATGGCCTACAGCTACCAGCATTTTACATGAATTACTGAATGGGTTTTCTTGGACATCGTTTCACATTAAACAACACGGGACCAATCACTTGGACGCGCTTGAAAGTTCAGGAGTGTTGTGAAGAAAACTATGCGTCTTTTCGACATTGTTGCAAAGTTTTACCTAGTTTTAGTAGACGGGGAATTTTTTTAATGAATGATCAAAACCTGGTCGCAGAAGTCCCACGCGTATATCTATGCAGAACATCAATAGAATACACAAGGACAGCACTGTTTCTAGTTTGTTTGCAGCCCAAGAAAAGTTCACCCTCGAATGAATATATTGCCCAGTCATTAGTTCATTCTAGGGAACACATTAAAATGGCCGGAATGTCACCGAATGGCTGTTTGTCTACATGGCTTGTGTAATTTGGTAGTGTTTTGACAATTTCCACAGTCATGGAGAAACTTCTAAATTATAATATTTGCTGCCTTATCTCAATAAATAAGATTTTCAAATGGCAGCAAAATCTCAGTGACCCTTTTCGTTGATATTACTGCCAAAATGGAATGAATGCATTGGAATTTTTGGAATACTTCAGAGTAATCAAAAAGTAAGACATACCTGCATCTGTTGTCGTGAGTTTGTCAGCTTCTTCTGTTAACATGGAAAAAATGAGGACATTTCAGTAAAAATATCACAGATGCAATAAATAATTTTGACTTTGTGTTTTCAAATCTACCCTTGTTTCGTTCGCTTCAACTTCGTTCTATTATTAGCCTGAGTTTCAGATGAATGAAGTTGGAATAGTGTCTATATTTCGATAAAACATATTGTGTTTGTGGGTCAGGAGATTCAGGAAGAATAACGGGTGAAATTTTGTTGCATTCAATGAATTTTATGCGAGCTCCAAATCTTCCTTTTGACTGCAGACGTGAAACGGTTAAACAGACTGCAAAGAACCGGCTACTTACACTTTTATGCACCACAGGCGTGTCAGGAGACTCTGGGTCACCTTACGAGCCTACGTTTTAGGTGATGCCAGTGGCGAAGTTCTGATGAGTTCCTCTGAGAAGTCATTGCTCAAGGAGCCAGTCAACACGTGATATGGATCCCGTGATTGAAGGATGAGCGGCGCTATATCCTGTCTAAGTGCGAGTTAATCACACTGCTGATCAGCCGCTAGTCGCCGAATGGTTAAGTGTTCAAACTACTAGCCAGGAGGTCGCGGGTTCGAGACTCTCCG